AAACATTACAGCATGGACATTCCATTCCAAGAGCAGCCACTAAATCTCCCAGATAACTGGCCTGTGGCAAATTTCCGTTTACAGTGCCTCAAAAGAAGGTTACAGAAAGACAAGTGGCTCCAAGAAAAGTATGTTGAAAGTATGGTAGAACTACGAGACAAAGGTTATGCAGAAGAGGTGAAAGAGGTCAGTAGAGATGATGGTTATGTTTGGTATCTGCCCCACCATCCAGTATTACACGCCAGAAAACCAGATAAAGTACGTATTGTTTACGACTGTGCAGCCAAGCACAAAGGCATTTCCCTGAATGATGCAATATATCAAGGCCCAGACTTAACAAACAAACTGATTGGAGTTTTACTGCGTTTTAGGCATCACCCCGTTGCTTTCATGGCTGATATTGAAGGAATGTTTTTACAAGTTAAGGTGAACGAGAATCATCGTGACGTGCTTCGATTCTTGTGGTGGAAGGATGATGATATGAACAAACCAGTTCAAGTTTATAGAATGACAAGGCATCTGTTTGGAGGGGTATGGAGTCCAAGTTGTGCATCATTTGCCCTACGGCGTACTGCGCTGGACAATTCCTTGAATTTCACCTCTCAGGCTATAGAAACTGTATTGCAGAATTTTTATGTTGATGACTGTCTCAAATCAGTACCTGATACACAACATGCGATTCAATTAGTTAAAGAATTGCGAGAATTATTGGCACTTGGAGGGTTCAAGCTCACGAAGTGGATAAGCAATTCACGGGAACTCCAACACTCTATTCCAGAAGCAGAGTGGGCCAAAGGAATTCCAACCTTAGATCTTGAACAAGATGAATTACCTGTGGAGAGAGCATTAGGTGTTTTGTGGGATGTGGAATCTGACAAACTTGGGTTCAATACACTAGTCAAACAGAAACCTATTACCCGCCGAGGACTGTTAAGTGTTGTAAGCTCTGTGTATGATCCCTTGGGGTTTGTCAGCCCCTTTATTCAGAAAGCGAAAATGATGTTCCAGATGCTGTGCAAGTTGAAGATCGGCTGGGATGATCCATTACCAGAAGACATAGCTCATCAGTGGAACAAGTGGCAAAATGACTTACCTTTGATCAATGAGATGAAAGTTCAGCGATGTTTAGTACCACCAGCATTTGGTACCCCGATTGATATTCAACTTCATCACTTCGCAGATGCATCTGAAAATGGGTACGGTGTCGTTACTTACCTACGTTTGACAAACGGAGAAGGCCACGTACACTGTGCATTTGTCATGAGTAGAGCTAGATTGGCCCCTTGCTCAGCGACCACAATACCCAGATTGGAGTTGTCTGCAGCTGTTATGGCAGTAGATTTAGATGAATTGCTAAGGAAGGAATTGGACTTTTCCTTTTCTCCTTCTGTCTTCTGGTCTGATAGCATGATAGTACTGCAATATATTGCAAATGAGGACAAGCGATTTAAGACTTTCGTGGCAAACAGAATTGCTAAGATAAGAGAAGTGACCTCACCAACTCAGTGGAGGCATATAAGTAGCAAATTAAACCCAGCTGATGACGTATCACGTGGTGCAACGCCCCAAGAGTTGGTCAGTAAGGAACAGTGGATTTGTGGTCCCTGTTTTTTGCAGTTTCCTGAGGCGGAATGGCCTAGTTCACCTTACTTAGCAGAAGTAGAAGCTCATGATACTGAAGTAAAACAAGACGTTAGTGTCTACCATGCTGAGATTATGAAAACGGACATACTTGACAAGCTGATGGCAAGATATTCCACTTGGAATGAGCTAAAGAAAGCAGTAGCGTGGATATTAAGAGCAAAGTCTGTACTTAGGAGTAAAGTCTTAAAAAGGGTACAGCAAATGTGTGACTTGCTCTCTGTTGAAGAACTTAATGTGGCTGAAGAAGAGATTGTTAAGTATGTTCAAAGAAACTTGACAAGGGAACAGTTTCAGAGCAAAGGTTTCAAAAGACTATCGCCAGAAACCTTACCCAGCGGCATTTGGGTGGTTGGCGGTCGTTTGAAATATTCCAGCCTTGTGGAGACAGCAAAACACCAGTGGATTTTGCCACAAAAGCATCCAGTTGTTTCTTTGATAGTGAGACATTATCATAATGAAGCAGGGCATACAGGAGTGGAACATGTCCTTTCAGACATCAGACAGCGTTATTGGATTATGAATGGCCGTGCTGCCGTTAAACGAGAGATCTATAGGTGTATGTTGTGCAGAAAGTTAAAGGCCCCGACACTTGAACAACGAATGGCTGATTTGCCGAAGAATCGCACAGAAGCATTTCTACCACCCTTTACTATAGTGGGCGTTGACTTTTTTGGACCATTCTTTGTAAAACGTGCACGTAGTGAAGAAAAGAGGTACGGTTGTCTGTTCACGTGCCTAACATGCAGAGCAATACACATTGAGATATCTCATTCACTAAGCACCGATTCGTTCCTGAATGCTATGCAGAGATTCATTTGCCGACGAGGAGAACCTGAGGAAGTTCGCTCTGATAATGGAACCAATTTCACAGGAGCACATCGTGAACTGAGGGAACATATTAGTAGGTGGAATCAAAACAAGATAACGGACTGTTTGCGTCAAAGGGAAATTAAGTGGGTGTTTAATCCTCCCTGCGCATCACATATGGGAGGGATATGGGAACGGCAAATTAGAACAGTGCGATCAGTTCTCAGCTCATTGTTGGCTCAACAACCGCTCAAGTTGGATGATGAGGCTCTTTGTACTCTTATGTGCATAGTGGAGAATATTGTGAATTCAAGGCCTATCACAAAGCTTTCTGATGATCCCAAAGACCTGTTGCCACTGACGCCTAATCATCTTTTACTGTTGCGTTCAGGACCAGTGTTACCTCCTGGGGAATTCGTGAAACAAGATATGTACCATAGGCGGTGGAAACAGGTTCAGTATATTGCTGACTTATTTTGGCAGCGTTGGCTAAAAGAATATCTGCCTTTGTTACAAGAGCGGCAAAAGTGGTTCAGTGTTAAGCGAAATCTCAAAGTTGGGGATTTGGTATTAGTGAAAGATGAAAGTACTCCGCGTCTGCAATGGCCAATGGGCTTGGTGACAAATACAAGTCCAAGTATGGACGGCTGTGTTCGCTCAGTCCAAGTTAGAACACAACATGGAATCTTCAAGAGACCAGTGACAAAACTTTGTCTTCTGGAAGGTGTAGACTGATGTGACGGAGGTTAAAGTGGTAAAGTCATAGACCTTTTAATTACAACCTAGACATAATATAGTAATCTGGGACTGTAGTTAAATTTATAATATAATTTATGCAATGTGGGTACATGTGCATAAGGGGCCGGTGTAAGAATCGGATAACCGATTTCTTGTTTATTTTGATTAATGTAAACTTAAGCGGCCCATTTGCGTGATCTTTTACGTGAGGAGGCAGGATTGCGAAGAAAATTGATGGACACTTCAACAGCGTGGCTGTTTTGTAGTTAGCATTCCGTAGGAATAGACTTTTTTT